CAGCTACTTGGAAGGTTGAGGTGGAAAGATCACCTGAGCCCAGCAGGTAGAGGCTGCAGTGGCCGTGAGTGTGCCACTGCACTCCAGCCTGGGCGAGAAAGAGACTCCAACTCAAAAATAATAATAATAATAAGAAGAAGAAGGAAGTATTTACATAATAAATCCAATAAATGAGTGTATTCCTATTTTTAATGATTCTCGTGTTCTCTATTTCATGCATTATTTATATAACAAGTATGTATTGAGTATCTACAATGTGTTAGGTATGGCCTAAAGATTTAATAATGAGCATACATTTTAGTGGGGGTTTACTGGGGACAAACAAGCTAATAGTCAAATAAGTAAAATAAATACAAATTGTGGTGTTATGAAAGACATAAAAAAGGAATTGAGCTAGATCTGTGGTTCTCCACCAGGGGTGATCCCTCTCTCCATTCCTATCCCCTCAAGGGACATCTGGCAAAACCTAGAAACACTGAGTCACAACTTGGGGGAAGGGTGCTCCTGGCACATTCTGGTTAGCCACTGATGATGCCGCTAAACATCCTGTCATGCTCAGGGCAGCCCCCACAACAAAGAACGATCCAGCCCCAAAGGTCAACAGGGCCATGGTTGAGAAACCCTGAGCTAGATGATGGCAGTGGGGCTCCCTAATTTAGGTCAGGTGGTCAGAGAAGATTCTTCTAAGAAGGTGACATTGAGTCATCAACTTGACTGGTGAGAAACTGCCAGTCATGCAACAGGTGTTGAAGGAACATGGCTGGCAGAAGAGACTTGGAAACAACAAATAACAATGAAAAATTCATTCTATTTGCATATTCATTCAAATGCTCATATAGGGGACAACTAGAAGGTCTGGCATATCTCACTTAGTATATTCTTTCTTGCTTGAATTTTAAGAACAGATTTTTTTGTAATTTCAAAAATGAGAGAAAAAAAGGCACAAAAAAGTAGACAAGTTGGAAGAGAGGCTTTCGTAAAACTAGAGGCAGGTTTCAGAGAGCAGCCCTCATGGTGTTCAAGAGGTCTTGTTGTCTCTGGTGTCTTTTTCTTTTTTTTTGAGTTCGAGTCTCACTCCGTGGCCCAGACTGGAGTGCAGTGGCACGCTTCCGGCAACCGCAGCCTCGACCTGCTGGGTTCCAACGATTCTTCTGATCCTTCTGCCTCAGCCTTCCAAGTAACTGGAACTACAGGGGTGTGCTACCACGCCTGGCTAATTTTTGATTTATTGTAGATATAAGGTCTTGCCAAGTTCCCTGGGTGGGTCTCGAACCCCATCCACTCACCTCAGCTTCCCAAAGCGCTGGGATTACAGGCTGAGCCACCGAGCCCCCAGCATCTCTGGTGTCTTAATATGAAGTCTGTCTGCCTTCTACATCTGTCTGACATTCCAGAATGACTGGATTCTAACAGAAAACTTGATTTAGAACCAGATAATTTATGTTCAGTACTTGGTTTTATGCCTTTTAGCTTTGTTATATTTGGATGTGTTAAGTAATCTTGACTCTAAGAAAAAATAATTTTACATGACTAACTTGGGGATTAAATAAATTTTTTTGTTTCATAAACTGTAAAGATGATACAAGATGTGGAGAATAAAGAGGGTTTAGGGTGTGCTCAACGAATTATCTTTTTGATTTATCCTCTGGATTCCAAAACTCATCTAGGTAAAAGAGAAGTGCTGAGTTAGCTACAGAGGGAAAAGAAAGGTTTGAAGTGCTGGCAGGCTAGGAGAAAAGTGATTCAAAACAAACGTAGTGGCGGCACCAGTTACATTATTCATGAAAGGAAGAGGAGAATTATCCTGATGGTTTGATAAAATCACCACAAGATGACTGTAAGGCCAGCCCCATTCCCTTGAAAGTTCCTCCTTAAGCATCCGGAGACCCTCAAACCTGAGATGTGACATGATTACAGAACCCCCTTGCAGTATTTAGAACTCAGCAGTTTGCATATATATATATATATATTATATTATATATATATATATATATGTATATATATAAAATCTGCCTTCCAGAGACTAGAGGCAAAAAAGACCTAACGACTGGGTAAGTATCTGATGGAAATTATGATTAATCAACTGTTATTCGGTATATGAATAAAATAAATACATTCCCCACCACTTGGTGGATGAGCATCCAGAAATAATAATTGCATTTATTGGGACACTTTTATGGCTTATTTGCCTTTCCAAGTTTCTATTTGAGTTTTTGCCTTTGAAGGATCTTCAGGCTGTGAAAAGTAACTTCATAACAACTCTCTGTCTTTGCTTGGCCTTGAGGCAGCTTCAGAAGATAAGACACCAAATGGAACTATGAGTGCCTTGAGAAAAATATAATAATGGCGAAAAACGTTTATCAGAAGCCTCAGCCAGCACCAAGCAACGTCTCAACTTGGGCAATTTCCCAATTCAATTAACAGCCACGTGAATTCAGCGAATAACATGTAGCCAATGTGAATCCATACACAGTCCCGCCCCCCCCCACAAAGAATCTTAAAAGTTACTGAATCTGTTTTATAGAGAGGCCTTGAGACAGTGGGACTGACAGAGCCAGAGCTGAAACTTGTTTTTCCACCTTGAGAAAAGTGAATAAACAAAAAAATCCTAAGCCATGCTGGTACTTGAAGCTCCCTTTTTTGAGGTTGTTTTACTTTCTTCCCAAGATGCACCAACAATCCAAAGCTCCAAACAAGTTTTGGAGATGCCTTGGAGGTGGGGTGGGGGAGCACGGGGTGGGGGGAGGGGGGCATGAGTCCTTCGCTGAACCACAGGACTGTGGCGGTGTCTCTCTTTGGAGCATCTCGTCAGTCTCCACAACGGCTTCTGATATGATGTGCTCGAGCAAAAGGTGTGCACTGGCCGGATCAAGCCGGACTTCTAGCCAAGGTGAGTTTAAATCTCCACTTCTTCCTCCCCCTAATTTGAAAGAGGCTTTTAATTCTCCCCGCCCCTCCTCCCCTCCCCCTGTAAAGTTTGTTTTCCAGCTATAAACCGGCTCCGACTCTCGGTTTCCATCCCGGTTGCCTGAGAAGCGCGGTCGTTAGCCAAGTTCACTTGGGCGAGAGCAAAGTTACCTTTGTGTACATAATGAGAGCCACCGCGTGGCCAAGGATAGCCACGGGGAAGAAGGAAACATTTTTGTCGCGAGCTGCCGAAAGCGGGCGGGGGGCGGGGGGCGGGGGGCGGGCTCCAGCGACCGAAGGCGTGTTCGGCCGAGTGGCTTCGAAAGCGACCGAGGTGGCCGAAGCCGCTTTCGCAGTTGGCAAACAAAGCGTCTCCCCAGTAACCGCCCGCTTCCAGACGAGGCTCCTGCCACTCAGCCCGCGGAGTCGCGGCGTCGGCCGCCCGGCTCCTCCTCCCTGCGGCCCTCCCCTGCCGCCTCCCCCCGCGGGTGTGAGCCACCAATCGCGGCCACCAACAACCCTTCAAATGAAATAGCGAGGCGGCCCTCTAACGGGCGGCGGGGGCGCCCCCTCCCCGCGCCACAGCTGTCCCGCACTCGCCGCCGCAGCCGACTCGTCTCCAGCCCGGCCGGGGAAGGGACTGCGCGCCCGGCAGCTGCAGGGCAGCGTCCAGGCTGCTGGTTTCTCCCCCCGCACCACGTTTCCCCCCGTGCCGTTTGAGATGTGCGATCGCCCAGGTGCCCCGCAGTCATCAAACCACAGAAGAGAAAAAAAAAAAAAAAAAATCGTGAGGTTGTTGCCGTCTTAGGGTGACGCTGTTTTCCTTGTTGATTCATTTTAAGTCCTGTAATTGGAAAATCCCACCCAAGCTTTTAAAAGTCTGGCCTTAAAGCACTCTCGGGGCGGGGGTGTCTTTTTTTTTTTTTTTTCTTAAGAGGAGGGCGGGAGGAGGCAGGCTGGCTTTAATATTCAGCGGAATCCTAAAACAGAGGCTCCAAAGTCTAGTTTAGTCACCCGTTGGCTGTCTTAGTCCTCCACTGGGTTTAACCTTATTTTCAAGAGCTTCCCCTGCCGGGATCTTCATGGAGGAGACCGAACAAAAACAGCACGGAACTCAAACTGGAGACAGACCCGCGCGCTGACGTCGCCACCAGGCTTATTTACGTTTGGGGTTTTTCTTTCTTTCTTTCTTTCTTTTTTTAAAGCGATGGGGAAAGTCTTACTGTGGCATGTGACAGTTCGCTTGCTTCAAAACGGGGGGACAAACCCACGCGAAAACTAGACCCAGAAGAGGGGGCGTGTGTTTCTTGAAATCAACCAAACGGCATCTGGGCTTTTAAAGGGCAGTTTCACCAAAGCCCCGTGAGATGGTTCCCCCTAACTTTCGGCTAAAATAAATCAACAGGAACGTGTGTTTACTTCACGGCTAGTTTCTCTTCGAGACGCCGGAGGGGAGGCGGGGGCCTCTAGCAGGGTTCAAGTCCTGAGAGTAGACACTGTCCGCCGACACAGATGAGCAGCCACGGCGTGATCGCCCCTTTCCTATAAAAGCGGCAGCGGTCCGGGTCCGGGTCCGGGTCCGGGTCCGGGTCCGGGT